CATGCAGGTTTTAAATGAATTATTGAAGAAACTTCTCAATTTTGTTCTGCATTAGGCGTGGAACATTACATATGATCCAATAATTAATGTGTTGGCATGTAATTTCCTTGTTTTTAAATGAATTATTGAAGGAACTTGTGGCTGTGGCCGAACCAGTTCTTGTCAGATCCTAATCAGCACTTACTCATCCTTGTTTCCGGACCAAAACTATTTTTTCTTGTAATTAAAGCTAAATACATAATATACCTAACAAATCATTGTTAAATTACTCAAAACTCAATCATGTCTTTCGTTTGTCTATCGTTTACTGATATCATTGCAATTGTGGAAACTCAATTATCAAATTGCTAATCAGTTAATTTCTTCTTCTTTTTTAAAAAATTAATAAAAAATTAATAGAAAATTAATTTTATTTTAATTAATTGGATTCTCTTATTGACCATTTCAGATGCTTTGACATCGCATTCAAGGGTTAATTAGCTTTGCTGTCACTATTAAATTAATATCCCAAATAAATAATTTTATTGTATTTGAATCTATATTAAGTTTCATAGTCGTTTTTGTTCTACATTATTAATACACTTCCATAGATGCAATTACGCAATTATTATTGGTATAAAGCCAAATATTCTAAATTACCCACACCGGGTGATTTTACCAAAATATCACCTGTACAAGTAATAATTACATGTCAGGTACTCTGTCTCCTAATATTACAAATCTAGCACTCTTTCTGACAAGGCACAGATGGTAGTTCTGCCCGAGCTAGCGTCACATAAGAGAAGACGCAAATCGTCATCCACGCCTTAGCTAAACCTCTGACATATACGGAAGACACGAATCATGAAGCGCATATTCCATAGAACCACATCATCCCTCAAAGCATTTTTAAAAAATATACTTTAAAAAATGTTAAAAATAAAACTATAGGGACTAAGATCATAATTTAATACATATTAATTCTATGAGTTGAAGAGCTTAATGGGGTTAGCTTATATATGCATATTAGAGTGTTTAGGTTATGTTTTTTGACAATGTGAGATAAAAATTAAAAGGTGTATTCCTTTATCTCTATATCTAATGAATTTACTTATACACTATTGTTAAATTACATTAGGTTAATATTTATTATTAATATTTATATTGATTAAAAGATTAGATGACTATCCAGCTCAGTTGGTAGAGCACAAGGTTCTTAACCTTGAGGTCGTGAGATTGAGTCCCACAGAGGGCATTTCATAATTCGGAGATCTTCTACGGAAGCTGCTCTCAACCTGGTGTTGGGGGTAGCCTACTATCTTACCTCCCCCTTACCCCATTACATATGGGAACAAGGGACATCCATTTTTATATTAATTAAAAGATTATATATTTTTTATATGTTAATATATGTACTTAGTTAAAAGTAAGTTTTGTATATATTTTTTATATTGGTACAATTAAGTTTTGTCATGAGATATAGACGTTCGTCTTCTTCGATTAATTTCCCCCATATGATTAGTTAGTTGCATATAATGAATTTAGAAAATAGCAATTATCATTAGTGGTAATGTTTAATTTGGTTCATATATTATATACAAAAAGAAATAACGACGATGAAATTTATTAGGTGATTGAGCAATCAAAGGCGTATAGATTGTTTTATCTATAAGTTCGAATCTTGATACTTAGTTTTAAAAATAATAATAAATCGTATTACGTCACTCATAACAAGCTGCTTGTGGATGTCATTTAACCAAACCAAATCCTTTTAAGTTATTCTTATTTTCCTTTCCAAAAGATTATATAATATATAGATATTTATGTGTGGACTAAGAGAAGATAAATTAGTCCAAATTTTTATTTTCTCATCATTGGAAAGTAAACCCTTTTGATGTTAGCAAAAAAAAAAATCCGATTATTATATTTACCATCATTGTCTTCTCACTTGGATATTTGGTTGTCTTTTTGCTTACTAATATTTCATTAATTTTCTTTTTTTAACATATAATAGATGTTAATAATGCATTATTACATTCAGCAAAAGTATGCATGCATTATTACATTCAGAAAAAGTATGCATGCATTATTACAAGATTAACAATTAATGTTCAATCACATTTGTAATCGTTGGTGCTTGAATTCGTAATTTCTAGGAACAACAACTATTCTTTTAATTATTAAAGTAAGTTGATTCGTGCTCACTTTTAAATTTCTTAAATTAACTCCTCTCTATTTATTGAAATCAAAATGCATATAAGATATATATATATATATATATCACAATGTACGTTGATGATATAGGAGTAACATGATCTAATACTAAGTAATTAATCAATTATTTTTGCACTTTTATTTTTTTGGGTTGATGTAAGTAACTTAAAAATTAAACAAATAATAAGTTATCAACTTCTTATTACATTTATACGTATATAATTGAAATAAAAATGTAATGAAAATTATCGAATGCAACTCATGGAAACATAACCTAAATACGAAATACACATTTTAACTTTTATCCCACATTATCAAGAAACATAACCTAAACATTTCAATATGTCTATATAAGCTAACCCCATTATGCTCTTCAACTCATAAAACTAATATGTATTAAATTATGATGTTAGTCCATATAATTTTATTTTTTTAATTTTTTAAAGCATATTTTTTAAATGTTTTTAGGGATGATGTAGACTTATGGAAAACGTGCTTCATGATCCGTGCCTTCCGTATATGTCAGAGGTTCAACTAAGGCGCGGATGACGATCTGCGCTTTCCCTTACGTGACGTCAGCTTAGACAAAACTCCACGAAGGCGCGGATAGTGATTAACGTCTTGTCAAAAAAGATGTTAGATCAATAATATTATGAAAAAATTTACTGACATATAATTATTACTTGTACAAGTGATATTTCGGTAAAATCGCTATCATACGGACTGTTACTATAAAATAATAATAATATTATGTGGAAGCAAATCATACACTCTGAAACAGCATCACGCGACTTGTCCAATTTCTGTCTTGTCTACGACAATTACATTTTTTATGCGGATAAACTCTTTAGTTTTATTAAAAAAATAACACCCAACATTATTTTTTGAATGAATGAAAAAAAATCCAACATTAGATTAAACATATAATGGACATATCTCTATAATCTTTACTATAAAATATATATAATCACTTGAGATCATATAAAGATCATACAAAGACAAAGTTAAAATTATATTTAAAAAACTCGACTAAAAGATAAGATACTAACATACCTTATTTCATTGACAAACGAACCACAATATTAGATAAACTATTAAAAGATCACCAATATTCACAAATCAGAGTTGAGCATCGTTAGAAAACTATATGCAAACGCTAATTATGTATTCAAATTCAATTGAAGGTCTAAAGCAGAAAAAATCAACATGATAACAAACGTTGTCAAATTCAATCCTAATAATTAAATGAAAATACGGTCAAACAATAAAAAATATACCAAAAGATAAAAAAAATGTCAACATACGAAAGCATGTCATAGAAATATAATTATTAGAAATAGAACGAAAAACAAAACAAAAATAAGATAAAAAAAAAGAATACAAACGATCAACTACGAATAATAAAATAAGGTTGGTGTTTATCGACTACCGGATAGAAAAGAAAATAAAGGAACAAGAAGTAAATAGTTAGAGGAAAAAACAAGGGTAAAGTATATAAATGATCATTAAACTTTTTGAATACTTGCATTTAGGTCCTTCAACTTTTAAAACTTACAACACAATCATCAAACATTTAGTTCGTTTGCAATGTGGTCCCCGACGTAACCGACCATTTCACTACTGTTAGAAGAAGATGACGTGGTATGCGAGGAAATCGTTTGCAGTTGAATAAAACCTCAATTGAATCAGACTAAAAACAACAAACCCGATTTTGTTCCTCAAAATTGAAACCTTAAACCCTAAAAACAAAATTTCTCTTCTTCTATTTGTTTGGTCAACAATTGCAAGCAATTGATACACCACTAAATGCAATCCCAACTTGTTTTTTTTTTGGAATGTCAACTATTTTATGCATAGCTTGGATGAATAAGAATGTTGGAAAGAGATCCTTTAGATGCATTAATTACGGGTGTTCTAGGAGAAAATTTAATTTCTTTGTTTGGTATGATCTACTATTATAGTTGGTTTGCTAAGGAAGATAATAACCACAGAGAGAGGAAAAAGGCTTAAGCTAGTGATTTGGGGATTTTGATGTTGATAATTATGTTGGGTTAATTGGTAGGGAAATTTAGCATTTAGGATTTGTTTTGGGGGTTTAGGGTTATTATTTCAAGTTCAGTTTGATATGGAAGATTTTGATAATGTATTTTGAATTTGGGGTTGAGCATGTAATTGAAATATTTTAGAATTTGAGGTTTAGAATGTAATTGAAGTATTTTGGAATTCTGGGTTTAGAATGTAATTGATAATCGTGTTGCAAGTTTTAAAAGTTGGGAGACCTAAATGCAAGCGTCTGAAAAGTTCAATGACCATTTATATACTTTATCCTAATTTTTATAACTGGAAATGGTTTCCTCACGTGCCACATCATTTTCTTCTAACGGCAGTGAAACAACCAGTTACGTTGGGACCACATTGCAAACGGATTAAATGTTTGATGACTGTGTTGCAAGTTTTAAAAGTTAGGAGACCTAAATACAAGTGCTTGAAAAGTTTAGTTACCATTTATATACTTTACCCAAGAAACAATTGCATTCAATCATATAATTTTAAAAAGCTAATATTGCCATTTAAGGCAGTTTCACTGGCTTATTTGCCCACAAGTCATATGCAAATATATATGGTAATAATACAATTTTATTTTCTTTAATTTATTTTAATTTTACTGCAGTATTAATTAGCACGTTTATTTTGGTTTTGGTCCTTTTCTTGGTCCCTATCAAATCTCAACCATGGAAACTACCCAGCTTCTTGGCCAAGCGAAGCACTGCCACTGCCCTTATATAATACTCAGAACCTAACTCTTCAAACATACTCACCCATCCCTGAATCTTCACTCTTTCTAAGTTCATCTATTTTCTGTTTTGTCATTTTATTTTTTTATATCCAACAATGGTGGATACAGTTTCGTTCCTTCCGGTCTCTAACTTCGATGGCTCCAATCCATCGGAGCCTCTTCAAAGTCGCCGCATACCCATGAAAGTGCAGCTCTTGATCTTCTTTGGGTTGTTGGCGGTCGGATTGTTTGCGGCTTTGTTGACAAGTAACAATGGGTCAGATTTCGTAACAGAAAGCGAGCATGGTTCATTGGTTTCGTTGAACACCGCCAAACCTGAACTGTTACAGCCGGTGTCACGTGGGCCGGCTGCCGGAGTATCAGAGAAATCGAACCGGCTTTTTGCCAAAGATGGCGAAAATATGGTGGCGTTTCCATGGAATAATAGCATGTTGTCATGGCAAAGAACAGCTTTTCACTTTCAACCCGAAAGGAATTGGATGAATGGTATGAGAAAGAAAGGGTCATTTTCCATTTTTCCTTGAAATTCATTACTGTAAAAATGCCCCACATTTTTTAATATGATAGTCATAAAAAGTTTCGTACTTAATCACCCACTAATCCAATCATAATATCATTGATATAAAAGCAGGAAAATAACAGGAAATCCGAAATCTCTATTTCTTACATCACAGAAAAGATTAATGCCTAACATTTGGATTTTTTTTTTGTATGTCTGGGCGCTTGTTGTACGTTGTTCTCCGACATGGAATCTGGCTTCAGATCCTAATGGTAAGCCTTAACTTTTTTTAATTTTTTAATTCCTTTCTTTGTATAATTTTGCATGAAAGACATTTTTGGGACAGAGATTAATTAGACAATATATTAGATTCCATATATTCCTAATCATTCCTAGTTAGTCGAAAAGATGGACCCCACCTTTTCTATTAATTTATATATACTTTTTTCTCCAGCGAGTCCATTTAGTATTACTATATATACTATTATCAAATTAAATTTGATTGTTTTCTTCAATTATCCTGGAAATATAACATTCAGAAAAATTAAACGAGACATGTAAATTTTTTCTTTCTTTTTTATTGACAGCTCGTGAAATGTTGGAATTGTTTGTTTGTTTTGTTTGGTATCTTCTTAATCTGACTTGTCAAATCCAGAAAAGAAAATTTATGTTCATGTCCACATGCGATAGTTGGCTTTTGACAACTAAGCTTGTTGTATTTGTACGTATAAACAGTAAAAATTCATGGCAATCTGATTTTGTTAAAGTAATATGTTGATTGATGATATGATTACAATTATATGATGAAATCCATTCAAACATCATTATTCTTTTTTACTTTATTTAATAAATTGTTAAACGTCCTTTATAACAATGATCGTTGATATTTCTAACATGACAAAGTACATATCAATTTTCTCTTATGTAATAAAAAAAAGGTAACGACTTTATGAAATTTTGGCTGATAACGAAAACAGGTCCACTATTCTACAAGGGATGGTATCATTTCTTCTACCAATACAATCCCCATGCTGCTGTGTGGGGTGACATAGTTTGGGGTCATGCTGTATCCAAGGACTTGATCCATTGGCTTCACCTCCCATTGGCAATGGTTGCTGACCGGACATACGACAAAAATGGTGTTTGGACTGGTTCCGCCACCATCCTCCCAGACGGAAAAATTGTTATGTTATACACCGGATCCGATGCCGATGCTGTTCAAGTTCAAAACCTTGCTTATCCTACTGACCACTCCGACCCTCTTCTTATCAATTGGGTCAAGTTCTCTGGGAACCCTGTTCTTGTTCCACCACCAGGCATCCTTAGCAAGGATTTCCGCGACCCGACTACCGCCTGGTGGACCTCTGAAGGGAAATGGCGCTTGACCATAGGGTCCAAGATCAATAAAACCGGCATAGCTTTTGTGTATGAAACTAAAGATTTCATAACCTATGAGAAATTGGATGGTGTACTTCATGCTGTGGACGGAACCGGCATGTGGGAGTGTGTGGACTTCTTCCCTGTTTCGAAAACGAAAGAAAATGGCTTGGACACATCGATTAACAATCCGGATGTTAAGCATGTGTTGAAGGTAAGCCTGGATGATGACAAGAATGACTACTATGCTATTGGGACTTATCATGAGAAGAATGCTGCATTTATTCCTGATGATCCTGAGAACGACGTTGGAATTGGACTACGGTATGATTATGGTGTGTATTACGCTGCCAAGACTTTCTATGATCAGAACAAAAACAGAAGAGTCTTGTGGGGCTGGATCAAAGAATCCGACAGCGAAGCCGCGGATGTGCAGAAAGGATGGGCATCTGTTCAGGTGAATACATTGGACCACAAACTCCATAACCATTAACTAAAAAACCCATATTTCTTCAGTTTCTAATGTGATATTTCACTTTACTTGCAGAGCATCCCAAGGACGATTTTGTTAGACCAGAAGACTGGTACCCATTTGCTTCAATGGCCAGTGGAAGAAATAGAAAGTTTAAGGTTGAACAGCTACGATTTTAACCAGGTGACAGTCCAGGCAGGATCAGTTGTTCCTCTAGATGTTGGTCCAGCCACACAGGTTCGTCTTTTTTCTCATGTATTTATGTGTATCACTGATACTTTGTTGACCAAGATCCTGTTAGTTGACAAGAAGATTCTGGTCGTGTGACAGTTGGATATCATAGCCGAGTTCAAGATCGACAAAGAGGCTTTAGACAAAGCAACCGGGTCCGATCTTACATTCAGCTGCAGTAGCAGTGGTGGAGCTGTAAAACGTGGGGCACTAGGACCATTTGGTCTGTTGGCGCTGGCCGAAGATAGCCTCAGCGAACAAACACCTGTATATTTCTACATTGCAAAAGGATCCGATGGAAATCTCAAAACTTTCTTCTGTAACGACCAAACTCGGTATGTATATAAAACCCGAAGCCGTTCTTCACGTAAACGTGCGCCTTGGACTTACCGATTACCAAATCATGTTATTTCAGATCATCTGAGGCATCTGATGTTAATAAACAAATCTTCGGAAGCGTGGTTCCAGTACTGGAAGGCGAAAACTTATCCCTCAGGGTATTGGTGAGTAAAGTTACTTGTCTCATACTCCTAGTTATATAAATTCCTTGTTTTGGAGAGCAATGAACATGAAAATGGTATTGTTTTTCTTTTCTTCTTTGTAGGTGGATCATTCAATTATCGAAAGCTTTGCTCAAGGTGGAAGGACAGTGATAACATCTAGGGTTTATCCAACAAAAGCAATCTATGGAGCTGCTAAACTGTTCCTATTCAACAATGCGACCGAGGCGGGTGTTAATGCTTCACTTAGGATTTGGCAAATGAGCTCTGCATTCATTCGGCCTTATCCAAATATCGATAACCAGCCCCAATAGGATGCGTTAACCATTGATTCATTCCTGTTACTTCTGTCATTCAAAGGCAAAATGAAGTTTCTTGTACTTGTAATACATTTTTTTTCTTTCCTTTTTTTGTTAAGGCTAATAAGAATATTACTACAAATCGAAGAGTTTAACTTAAAACATAACAAGCAGGGAAATCAAATCATCAAAGGACATCTCCAAATGCATAAAAGATTTGGATTTAACTAGAAATTTGATTTAAAAGGGCAAGGGAAGGTAGGCCACGGGCTTTCTAGTAGCTTGCCAAGCATCCAACCATCTGGAGCCTTTATTGGCCTGAGAATTTAGAACCACCTCAATGGTAGATTCATCCCATTAGGTTATTGTTCCTGGCTCTCCCAAAACCTATATGTTTTCTATAAACCTACATTTATAACTGACTTAATGATTGAGCCTCTTCATGACCAAATCTCTAATATCTTGGGAGTCCATGAGGAATCGGATCCTGGATTATATTTAGGTTGCCTATGACAGTAGGCAAGAACAAGACTGCCACCTACAGTTTTTTACGATATAAGATGTTTAATCAAGTTTAATCTTACGTGAATCTTGAGACATGTGTTAGAAAGATAATTGACAGTCATTCATGTTTTAAGAAGATATTTCTAATGCGATTAGTGGTAGTAATACCGAAAGCGTTGTCCATCAATACAAGGCATTTCATTTTGCAGAAGAAGAATGACAACTCATATGATTAAAAAAGTATTGTAAGAGATAATAAATAATGACGGGTCTAGTAAATGTGAGTAATTACATGGCAAGGGAGGGTGGTTAAATTTTAGGGTTGAATTATCATGTTTTGGCCTTAATCTTAAAATGCATGTACCCTCCATATGTACATGTTTGAGTGGTAACAAAGTGAGTCAACAAATATGATTTTAAACAAACCAGAGAAGGTGCTGCTGGTCCCATTTTCTAGGCCCATCTTTGGTAGCAGAAAACATAGCTTTAAATCACGGATCCTTGTGCAAAACCAGGTCGATTACCATTTGCCCTTGTGTAGATTTCAGACTGGCCCAGTATTGTGTCGAAAATTGAAGCATCAAATGCTGGAAGACCTTAGCTTTTTCTTGGGCTTTGATTCTATAAAGTTTTGGAGTGTGAAACACTAAGCAGATTACAAGTATACAAACTATTTTTATTATACAAGTATAGGTATAAGAATAACCTAAATTATTATATAACAATTAAAATAATTTGTCAAAATATAAATAAGAGTTGGAACAAATTGAAATTTTAAAATAGAAAGATAGGAGAAAGAACTCTTTCAAATAAGTTAATATATTTTTAATAGTTTGGATGATTATAAGGTAATATTTGTTCAAAATCTTTCTTAGTTAATGACAATGTATACTCATGCAGATGCAGTTGCTCGAACCTGGAACCTCTAGGGCGAATAACACTTCCTTTTACTACTAAGATCACTTGATGGATTCAAATGACTAAAAAATTATAAGTAAAATTAGTTTATTGTTATTTCATGAACTAAGATATGTTGGGAAAAAATGAATCATAATAAGGGTATATTCATGTTCGTTTATTTAATTTTAATCGAAAAAATGAACAAACACGAACAACTAAACAAACACAATTTATTGTTCGTGTTTGTTCGTTAAGGAATGCAGCTTTTTCGTGTTATTTCATGTTCGATATTTAAAATGATAAATGAAAAGAAACAAATGCAAACAAATATAAAATATAAATTTCTTTTAAATAAATTAAAAATTCTTGAAAAAAATATAAATAAACGAACATAAATATAAATTTAATTAAATGAAATAACATAAACAAACGGATTATGAACGTTCATGAACGGAAAATCTTGTTCATGTTCGCTCGTTTAATAAATAAACGAACTTTCCGTCGAACAATTTATTAAACATTCAATTCGTTTACACCTTAGCATTAACCCTTGAATTAGGGTCACTAAACATTGGTGATTATTTGAAAGAAAGTTTAGAATAGAGCATATGAGATGGACTCTTCTTTTTATATGCTCATGCTATGTAAAAAGCTGAATATGGGAGCTACTGTCCTACAGCCTCTGTTGGAACCGAAAAGGCTGCATTATTTCACAAATTTCATTCCTGCTTTTTACATGGCAAGTGGGAAGAAGGTCGAATGGCCGATGGCGCCTCTTTGAGATTGTGGTCTTCCTCACTTTAGCGTGCATGGTATCAACACTGTTGTCATCATGTTCCACACTGTGGGAAAATTTGGATCATTTTCTTCCTTGGATCCCGGCATCTAATGCTGAAACAACTCCATTTTTGTCAACCATAGCAGCATACTATGTTTTTAGATAATCTGTTCTTGGACAAAAGGAATTATTTAACACTTTTAAATCCTCTTACTGGAACATTATTTTGCTGGATAGTACTATATGTTTGTGGCACTCTTCAATTATGCATTTATGGTATAAACGATGGGTTCGGAGTGGGCCTGCAACAATAAGAAAAAGTCATGACTGTTCAAAACACCAACACTGTTTTTGTTACTGTGATTGTGTTCCCCAATACTCAACAATGGCATATAATCCTCTTCGGATTGTTGTGCTTTTACATGGAGTCAAAAATATTGGTATTTTTGTGTTATATTCATATTTCTTTCTTTTGTTAAATTATATTGAATATGGACATATTTCTGAACATATCAAATTTAACATGCAGATATTTGTATTACATTTCTATTATTTTTCATTTTTTAATTGTGCCCATCTTTGCATGTGTTTTCAGCCAGGTTTTCTCATCCTGAGTGACATTGGCCGGAATTTTGGGATAGCATTAAAACGGATAGGGATTCTGTTTCAATGGGTGGATGAAGCAGTTATTCCTGTATCAAAACAGATTTTTTTTTATTAATTTAGTGTGATTATAATGTAATATTTGTTTAAGATCTTTATTAGTTATTGACAAACACAACTCTGCATACACAACTGCTTAAACCCGAAACTTAAAAAAAACAACTCCCTTTTGACCACCGAAATCATTCAATGAGTTTAGAACGTAATAGATTTTCATGGACCACCTGACATCAAATACCACCATCAGAAGCCCACTTAGTTGGACCAAGTTTAAAGGGCCATGCCTTGGTGGATGTTGAAACTTAAAACGTCTAATGAAATTAGCAGTCATTCCTAGAAAACCACATATTTCAGGTAATCAGTACCTTCATTCGTTGATTCGAACTATGAGGAGTAAGAGGATGTCATGTTAAGCAACATACCTCGAAACGACATAGACGTAATGGTTACAAATTTAAATCTACACTATTTCGTGTTTTTTTAGAAAAAATTAGAAGATAATATTTGGATACGGGATTGAAAAAAATTGGAGAAAACTTTTCATTTCTCAACCACTGTTAATAATGGATTGATATTGACCTAATACAATGATTGTCATCATTTGTTGCTCTAAATGAGCCAATAATACACATGGACATTACCTACATGATAATGACCAAATAAACATACCGATACAATGCGAATGACGACACTCACATTAATCGAAGCAACCCGATTTAATTTGATTCAAGTATTCACGAGAATATTAGTTTTTTTCTCTTGGAGTGATGACTTTCTCTGGTTCCACTTGTTGCAGTTTGAAGGTGGTTAGCTGAGCTGGTTCATACCAGCTGTGATATGAAGGCAGTTCAGGCTCTTCGTTTCAGTCTAAAAGAATGTTTACAAACAAAAACGTTAGTGTAACATTGGATGAATTAATTTTCTTCTCTGGAAACAGCAAATCCTCTTAGTTGTTCGCAGTCATCGACTGGAAAAGATGTTGATCGGTGCCATTCAACCACCTCCTTCGAAGGTTACTCTTGACAACGACGATGTTGTCGATAATGAAGATTTCGATGCGTTTGTTGCCCATGATAGCGTCCTAGCCTCCTAACTTCTTTCCACAATCCATCATTCTTTGCTTCCTCACTTTATCGACGCTAAAACTACTGCAGATATCTGGAGCACTGTCACTAATTTCTTCACTAGCAAGTCCACTACCATCATTATTGTTGCGGAATACGGCTATCGGATAGAGCAAAATCGCAACTGATAATTTGATAAAATAAAAATGAAGATAAAGAGAAATAAATTTTACTATGAGAAAGTAGGAATTAATAATTCTCTTGATCTAACAAGGAGAAAACAATGACAATTCTCTTTTGATAAAAAGGAGAAAAGAACTCTCAAGAAACTCTCTAAATTCTCTAGTATTGGGAGAAAGCTAGAATGATTTAGGATGGTTTTGAAGCTAAATGGGATAAAGTATTTATAATTAAAGCTTAAGGACTAGTCTTGTAAATATCCTAAAGTCTAGGGACTAAATGAGCAATTTTCCCATTACCATATTTTTAACAAGATCAAGCCAACTTTCAGTGCCCCTTAATTGTTGACAAATTTAATATTTTTTTCAACTTTTCAGTGAAAGTTTGGCCATTAATTTGGCCACTTGATGTTTACTTTTCAACAATCTTCCACTTGAAGATTTGATTGGAACCGTCATATCTTCACACCATTGTTTCTACCTTGTATCTTTAATGTTGCTCACATTTCTGTCAGGCCACAAGAGGATCGACACCAAGAAAATTTATCGGCATTAATCGCCTTCGTCATAAAATCTGCTATGTTGTCTTTGGTATGGATCTTCTGCATATCTACCGTCCCTTCTTCCACATTTTTACGAATGAAATGGTACTGAACTCGTATGTGCTTTGTCATTGAATGAAATGTTAGATTCCTTGCTAAATGCAAGGTGCTTTGATTGTTACAAAACAGAGAGACATACTCTTGATTGTGCTCAAGCTCCTCCAATAGCATCTTCAACCAAATTGATTCTTTACTGGCTTGTGTAGCTGCTACATATTCTGCTTCAGTTGTGGATATAGCCACAACTGACTGTAATTTCTACCCCTCTTCCTATTAACTTCAAATTATCCTCCAGTATGAGTCCTAGCAGTGAAGAAGAGGGGATGGAGATGTCTCGAGTACCGTATGCATCGGCAGTGGGAAGTTTAATGTTCGCTATGATATGCACGAACCAGACATTGCACAAGCAGTGGGAGTGGTTAGTCGGTACATGGCTAATCTAGGCAAAGAGC